ACAATCATCAATAGATAAGAAATCATAAAAATTCTAATGTGAAGCCACATAACCACATAGATATGTGTATACATGTACATAAATAAATTTAAAATTATGATTTGCTTGATTTATATAGTTATGGAAGACAACGAAATGACACTATATAAAGCTGAAATACAAAAATCAGAAACACAAGACAAAATATCAAAATACATTGAGCAAATGCAACAAATAGAAGACAAAATGAATCATGAATGTAAAAAAATAATAGCAGAAATGAAGAAACTGCTCAAGGAAAAAGAAAAAATAGAGAAAAATAATAATAATAAAATAGAAGAACTAAGAAAATTAAATGAAAAAGCAGAAAAGCTAAAACTAAATAAAAAACTAGAAAAAGCACAGAAATTAAAAACTAACATTAATAAAATGAAAGAAAAGCTTAAAGTACTAACTGAAAATGATATAGAAAAATTAGAAAAAGAAGATTCACTAACAGAGAATGATGTACAAGAACTATTAAGAGTAACACAGGTAGATTCTGAGATATCAGAAGTAATAGCAGGCAAGTCAAAAAGAGCTATTGAAAATAGCTAAGTCACTAACAAAAAATCATATAGAAATAACGCAAGATGAAGAAAGGAGAAGAAAATGGGATGAATATTACATGAAGATAGCCTGTTTAGCTGCTCTAAGAAGCAAAGATCCAAGCACACCAGTAAGCTAATAATACCTGGTACATAACATAATATCATTACACAGGTTGGTGCTTGTATTGCTGATACTAAAACTCATCAAATAGTTGGGATTGGATATAACTCAATGCCTTATGTTAAAGGAAGAAATAATGATAAAATATTCTCATGGAAAGGATCTAAAGCAGAAGGAATACCATATCATGAAAAGAAATATAATTATGGTAAGTATAACATTAATAATTATTGTACTGTGGTATGATAATTCTGTAGTTGTTCATGCAGCAGTTAGTGCTGTCCTTAATAAAACTAGAGAGAGCATTGAAGGATGCACAATATACTTGACACATTTTCCTGACAAAGATTGTGTTCACGCAATCATAAAAGCTGGAATAAGAGAAGTGGTTTACTGTATGTACACAAGACATGAGGAAAGAGAGGAAAAGGAAGATATGATAGTAGGTAAAGAAATATTGGAAAGAACTGCTGTCAAATATAGGCAAGTTAAAATAATATTTTCAATTTTTGTAATAAAAATCAAAATTACAGAAGAATGGAAAACATTGGTGGAGAATTGAAAAATAGAATAGAGCAGGAGATTAAACCCCAATATAAAAAAAACAAAAACAAATGGCCAACTGAGCCAGTCCAAGGTTACATAACATGGGAGAAATTCTTTATGAAAATAGCAGAACTATCAAAAGAAAGATCAAATCATAATCCTCAATATAAGGTTAAAGAATGTACATGCATAAATTCATACATTATGGCAATATATATGGGTTACAGGGTTAATACACCAGACACCGAGGATACTTTGAATTGATATCGCCCAAGGGCCTTTGGCTCTTGGGTGATATATCCATTTAAAGTATCCTCGGTGTCAGGTTATTAACCCATATATCGCCGTGATGCATAATATACACACATATACATACATGTACACTGTATATCAACTAAATTTATTGACATTGCTGAGATTAGCGTGAAGGAGAACTAAGCAGTCAGTGTATACTATTCTTAATGTACATCATGTACATGAATGGACTACATGCATCATGCATATTGTACATGATTGACAATGACACAACAATGCATGAAGTATTTACATACTGTATGCACCATATATTTTGCGGGGATTACTTAAGTCTTAAATTTTACAATTTTCGTGTTTTAGAAAAATTTACCAAATTAAAATCCGCAAAATAGCATGCTGATTATATAGTAGGTGTGGTAATTATATTAAAATTGTGAAATTTTCATTTGCAAATAAAAAAATGCAGCCAAATCGCAAAATTTTATACCTGCAAAATATATGGCATATGCGGTACATATAAAGTGAATGTGGATGCAATGACTGCAATCACTATTGAGTCACTTCAATTGTTTGTGTAAAAATGTAGCTTTTAGTTACAATTGAGGCTTGATGTTAGAAAAATGTAACAGTATAAAATTTTAATAGATACAAGTAGCCACAAAGTATTCATGAAAACTACTCTACGAGAGGAAAACTACATGACAATGTACAAACAAATGCATAATCACTCTGTTACAGGTGGGAGCATGTGTAGTGTCACCAAAGAAACAAGTATTAGCTGTTGGATATAATGCATACCCAGAAGACATGATACATGATGAGACTGAAGATGAAGAAAAAGATAATAAAGAATCAAATTATAGTTAGTGTAATTTAATAACAATGACAGTTCACTCTAAATGTATTTCATCAGTTTCCCATGCTGAATACAAGGCAATATTAGGAATATCACCATCAGTTGAAGGGTGTACATTATATGTCACTAAATATCCTTGCCACATGTGTGCTCAAGTTATAGTACAGTCTGGTATTAGGGAAGTGATATATGATAAACCAGGAGAATGGGACAAAGATAGCTACATAAGCTCAAGGAAGACATTGGCTGCATGCTTAGGAGATGACAAAATTATAGATATAAGGTTACAATAGAGTATGTGCAATAACTTAATTTTCTGTTTTTAGAAGTTATGAAAAAAAATTAGATTCAAAAATTTCCAAAGAATGTCAAACTCAAAGTATTGTAAAGGATCAAGCTACATTCCGTACATGCACATATATAATAGCCATTATCTTTTTTAAATTTTTGTTCATTATTTTTGTGTGTGTCACTATAAAATCTATATGTAAATTCTAATTATTATAAATTTTGATGTCTGCTGTAAATCATATTTGTTGTAAATTGTATTTGGTATTTGCATTGCGTACAAATTAAGGTTTTTGAAAGTTATGAAATATGCAAAATAGAATATCATTATACAAATGCATAATCATGAACACTATAAACATGAGATTGCAGTACCACTGGATACCGTATAATGGGTTTTTTTCAAGGATAACAAATTTTGTAAATTTTGTGAATTTTTGAAGATTCAAAAAATTAAATTTCTTGAAGAAAAGTGGCAATTCGCGAAATTTAATTCTGTGAAACCTCCGGATACAGGCCATTTGTGAAAATTATTATCCTCAAAATAAACCCACTATACTGTATGAACTAGCCCCACCCATAAAAATTAGCCACTCCTACAGCAATTGACTCCACCCATAATATAAGGAGCAAAAATGTAAAAACATGTTTAAAAGGAAGAGGCTAATAAGGAGCTACTTCAGTGAAAGAAGACAGTTTATTTCATTAATGTCCCTCACGGTACATGCTATTACTTAAACTAACAAAAATAACATTAAAAGAACAACAAATTAAATAAACACATGAATATTGTCTACACACAAGTTGACTCCTACTACTACTACTACTCATCAATACTACTGTCACTATGTACAGTTGGCATACACAATACACATTCAAAATTCAAAATATTTGTGACCATATATGGAAATGTGTTATGACTACCGTTGGCATCGCGTGATCACTATAGTATACGTACAAGTACATCTTCATAATTGTATATAATAAGCTACTCACTAGTGTTTACTGAGAGATCAGACTAGAGGGAGTACAAGATAAGAGAAGAGAAGACTACTAACAGTCAGTATAAGCTACTCCAGTAAAGAAAGGTAATGTATAGTGTATACAATATTTAATATTAGGCTGCACTGTATAGAACTGAAACAAGAAATAGTGAGACTATAGAACAGGACAGGTTAGTGCATGAGAATAAGAAATGAATAAGTTAAATGACACTGTATATAATGATGAATGATATATCCCTCACAGAAGCATTATAATAATTATCTTACATCATAAAAATATGCTTCTTATAGTTGGTCTTTAACTAACAATCAAGACCAAACTTCATATAGTTAAAGAGCTATATGAAAGCAAAACCTAAGGGGTACATGTATGATGTATCGTATATTTTTGCTGTGACTTTTATCCCGTCAAATGATAAATTCACAAAAATTAGATCACATAAAAATATACTGCTCATTTAATTATAATACTCCACTTTATTATGCAAAAATTAAATCACGCAAACAATTAAATCATACAAATTTTGCTGATACAAAAATTTCCAAATGGATAAATTTATTAATGGTATAATAAAAATATATGTATAACAGTAATTATGGCCAGAATTCCTAAATTATAGATAAAAATGTCAGACAGTGAAGAAAAAAAAATAGAAGAAGTCTGTGCAGAAATAGAAAAATTTCATAAAAAAATTAATGAACAAAAAGTGAAAGTCTATACAAAGGAAAAATTATTGCAGGAATTTGATGAAGTAATAACAAAGATGAATGACATCGCTGATCAAATGACAGAAACAGAAACAGAAATGCTTAAAAAAGAAAAGGACTGCAACAAAGATCTGGAAAAAAAAATAGAGGAAACTACTCGAGTGAAGGCTTTACAGCCAGCTGATGACAAAGAGAAGCAAAAAAAATTAAAGAAGTGTCAAGAGCTACTGAAAGAAATTAAATCATTGAAATGTGAAATGGAATATGCAAATTCAACAAAAGAAAATGTGCAAGAAATAAGAAAGAATGCAAATATAATAAAAGAAAAAGCAGAAACAGCAAAAACTAGAGTAGCAGATGCAGAAAGTAGTCCAAATTTAGAGAAAGAGGTCCAAGAGTTAGAAAAAATAAAAGCAGAAGCAAAAGTAGTGGAGCAAGAAGCAAATGAAGAATGGGATGAATATTACATGAATATAGCATGTTTGGCTGCTTTAAGAAGTAAAGATCCAAGCACACCAGTAAGCTAATAATTACCAAATTATCCACTAATACAATCACATGTAGGTTGGTGCTTGTATTGCTGATACTGAATCTTGTCAAGTGGTTGGGATCGGATACAACTCAATGCCTTATGTTGAAGGAGGAAACAATGATAAAATTTTCCCATGGAAAGGATCGACAACTGATAAAATAAATCCTGAACTGAAATATCCTTATGGTAACCAGAAATTAGTAGTCATTATCATTGTATGATAATCGATTCTATAGTTGTTCATGCAGCAGTAAATGCTATTGCCAGTAAACCTAGTGAGAGCATTGAAGGATGTACAATATACTTGACACATTGCCCAGACAAAGATTGTGTTCAGGCAATCATAAAAGCAAAAATAAAAAAAATAGTTTACTGTATGTTTACAAGACATGATGAATATGAAAGAGAGACGGAGGATGATATGGAAGTAGCTAAAAAGATACTGGAAAGAAATGCTGTCAAAATTAGGTAAGTCAAAAAATATTTTTAATTTTTACAATAACTAAAATAACAGAAAATTTAAAAATGAGAATGCTGGGGGACAACTAAAAGACAGGATAGATAGAATTAGACCCAGATATACTAAAAAAAACAAAGACGAATGCAAATGGCCAACTGAATCAGCCAAAGATTTCATACCATGGGAGACATTCTTCATGGAAATAGCATTACTATCAAAGGAACGATCAGCTCATTCTGAATATCAGGTCATTATACATGAATATATGAAGTTTTGATGTACATGTAATGTACTATTGTATATACATGCATACATACTTATTGTGATATAAGAGATACAGCCATGTACATGTACTCTTTACACAACATGCATGTAATTGGGCAAAGCCCTTAGTGATGATTAATTGTTACAATAGGTCTCAGTGGTATTAGAAAAAATACTTGTATAAAGTAGACCCTAGGAATTTGTAACAATATAATTGGTAATACTAAAAATACATAATCATGGATTCTGTTACAGGTGGGAGCATGTGTAGTGTCACCAAAGAAACAAGTATTAGCTGTTGGATATAATGCATACCCAGAAGACATGATACATGAAGAGACTGAAGATGAAAAAAAAGATAATGAAGAAGAATCAGAATATAGTTAGTGTAATTTAATCACAATGAATTGATAGTTTATTCTAAATGTATTTTTATCAGTTTCACATGCTGAATACAAGGCAATATTAGGAATATCACCATCAGTTCAAGGGTGTACACTATATGTCACTCAATATCCATGTCATATGTGTGCTAAAGTTATAGTACAGTCTGGTATTAGGGAAGTGATATATGATGAAGATGGAGGATGGAAACAACCAAGCTACATAAGCTCAAGAAAGATACTTACCACATGCTTAGGAACTGAGAATATTAATAACATAAGGTTAACATACTATAATTATTTCTAAATTTATTACTTATTACATTTTTAGAAGTTACGATAAAAAATTAGTTTGAAACTGTTACAAAGAATCAAGCTAAAAGAAATGGAAATGGATTATTATTATCATTATCATTTCCTGTGTCATTGTTTGTCTTCTAGATATAGGCATATTCTAGTTGAATGCTAAATAGTTTGTAACCATTTTGTTAAACTGACATAAAAATGAGGTGCTTTAAAAATCAATATCAAGTAATGTTTTTCTAATTTTATATTTTACTTGCCTAGCCTGCTTCTAGATATGTTGTATGTGTGTCAACTGTGGTCTTACTATCAGCAGCTGGTAGTCATTTTCAAATGTACATGCATGGTAGAACTTGGTATCAGTTTTATGGCAAATATTAACCTCATGACTGCTCAGTTAATAACAACATAATAACATTATGACAACAACTACACACAAAGGCATACATTTCACCTTTCTGCTCATCAATGTCACAGCAGCATTTATAAATGTGGGTGCAAATTTGTCTAAAAGTGGTTGAATTTATTAGTTGATAAATTTTTCTGCTTTTTTGCATATAGCACCCCATAATTATTGAGGAGTCCACAACGGTATCCAAAAGAGTACTGGATTAACCCAGATTTTGGCTGGATTATTGGAATTTTTATGGATTTTATTAATAGTTATTGAACATAATAACCATGTTATTAGTATTAGTTAATCATTAGTTATTTTAATTAACTATTAGTAATAGTTAACAAACCACAAATAAAATTAATTAGCCATTAATAATAGTTAATAAACCATGGCATGGTCAGTATATTTCTGGATTTTGTAACTGGATTTTCTTGGATTAGATCTATAATTTATTGCTTGGATTTTTGGATTATCTGTGGATTTTCTTGGATTATCACTTGGATTTTCTTGATTATTGGTGGATTTCTGTAGATTATTGGATTACTGCTGGATTATTGGATTTTCTACTGGATTTTTTGGATTTTCTGGGAAGGTGTACCGGATTATAGACCAGTTGGTGCTAAGTATATTCATAGAATTTTAAGTATATTCATTGTGATACCGTAAATAAAGTAACGAGCCTCTGTCAGCCTTGCAGCAATATATGAATGGAGGTTAGGCTACGCCCACGCTTCCGTTTCCAATCCCTTTCATTTACTTTATTATCTATGAATATACTTAGCGCCAACTGGTCTATTGCCTCGTTGCGGACTCCTGATAATTATACTCCATTAAAGAAAGGTAATGTATAGTTTATGATATCTTTTATGTACTCTTGATGATACTTAATATTAGCAAGAGTGGATTATTATTTATGGAGAGT